CTGATGCAGCAGAGCTGGAAAAAGTGGGTTTTCTCCATAGACAGTATTATTCGCTGAGTCGTGTCAGGGTGGGGGTTGGAGTCACAAAGTTGTGACAGGTTTGTCCGAGGGGTAAACGTATGAGGGTTAAAGGGAAATCAAGGGTGAACTCAAAGGTGCTGTGTGCTGCCAGCTAAAGTGGTTTATCATCCTCAACTGTTTTATTATTTTGTCCCCATTTTTGCATTTTTTTGTATAAATTTTGGTAGCACTCGGTGGGAACGAAGGTCTGTAGAAACGTTTATAAAGGGAACGTTCGTAGAAATGTTTCTATGGTTGGGAGGTAAATACGGAGGACAGATCTAGGAATCACAAATATTTTGCATTCCAGAAGTTTTTCATTCGTTTTCAAGTCTTATTATATATCACTGTGGTCCAAAAGAGCCTTCGGCATTGTTTTGGCTAGAAAACGAATAAGCTTGAGAGTTTTCATGGGCCATCGTGTTGCAATGACTGAGAATTACAGTTGATGCTGCGGCGGCTGGTGGTGACGACAACGTGTTCAAATGGGCTGACTATTTCGGTGAGAACAACACACTGTTTGTGGTGGATGCGAAGAAGAAAGGGAATGTCGGAAGGTGGGCAAACGTTTTATGTTAATTCCACGCTAATTAAATAGGTGCTGCCAGCCCTACCATTGTGCTTTCCCTCCCGTGTCTACTTCTTTCTAAGACGGCAAGTGGGGGGAGGTGCGCTAATAAGAAGGTGTACTAGTGGATCCTTTTTCGCCCGTGCAAATTGCACGGGTGCAGTTAGCTTGGAATGTGCTTTGGGGATACCCGTAAACGGGTCTGCAGTTGTAGAATTGTGCCTCTTTCCTTACTCGAGAAGTATGCGAAAACGAGGCTGGGTTATAGTGACAGCCGCTGCTCATCTACGCCCTCACGTCTGGTTGTTCTCTACTCTGTCTTGTTCACGAGAGAATTTTGGTATCAACGCGAGTTCTCCACCTGAAGGATGGCGTTCCAAACAGGACCCGGGTATCATTACCCTTCACCCTTATTTCCACATGCTCTTTAATGACGAAATTGTTAGCATGTACACTCGAAATCCCTGAGATGAGGTAGGCGTGGCTGCGTACTTCAACTAAACGTCGTGGTGGCTATGCTTTTGGAGAGATATTTTCATTTTGACCCAAATGTGGTCACGTCTCTGTCCAACAAAGAACAAGATGGCGGTTGTCTCAAATTGAAATATCCCACGAGTAACCAGTTCTGTGCCATGTTCGAATGCCACGCCTACCCCGTCTCAGGGATGCTACCCCGTTCTAACGGATAAGGAGTATACAGCTGTGCGGCAAGTGCGTTGATGCCGTTTTCTTCGCGTTCTTCGGATAACCTGTCACACTTGCAATTTCGGAGCTTGCGTTCTCATACCTCATTTATTTTTATTTTCTGTCAAAGAAAATTCTTTCCGTTCAGATTCCTGAATCATTCATGTGATCCAAATGTTCAAGTGCAGCATGTTTTCGTTGACACTCACGATCTCCGTTTACCATGGTCGTCGTTCTTCGCCATTCGAAATATTAAGGCCGGAGAGGTAAGTGGTTTTAATTTTCACGAATTTGTTAATTTTCTTATATTGCCGTTAGTCACGTGCGCGACATTCGCCCAGAACCTGAGCGATTCAACGTGAAAGTGCTGCGCTGTCGAGTGGAACAATTAGGAATATCGCCTTAATTGTGTGCGTCGCCGCAGTGTGAATGCTCTAACCAATCCGCGATCGTGTGTTCCCGTTTCTTGATTACCACGGAGTGGTTGTCGAATGCTGACGCGCGCTGTTGAGCAGCGGTCTGGGGAAACTAGGCTGGTATGATGAGGGTCGCAGCAGGCAGTGAATAGGGCACAACGGCAATTCTGACTGCACCTACACAGTCTGCGTGAACTTTGCCTCTATTCGTAGGGTGTGCATTTGATCCCGTGAGAATTTGCATCGTTGTGTTCTTGGCGTTCTTACATCACATCGCGGAGAAGATGTACTACCATGAGCCCTCTTTCTGGGGAGACGAACAAGGCAGTCGTAGGTTGTCGCGTCGTCGCGTGCGGCGTATCGTGCGGCGATGCGCAACGAACCTCGATGTGCATGAGTTCGTCGATTGGAGCAGCGAAACTCAAATAAATTGGAGCAGAGACGAGCTTTCATGACGCGCGTTGAACGTCCCTTCACCATTCAAGTTTAGAAGGCCAGCATGGGAAACTCGTCGCAGCGTCGCTCGCTACGCCCACCAGCGTGGCACAATACGATTGTCTTGTCACATTCCCTTATATCTTTTTGATTTTCAGGAATTGTGCTGGAATTATGGTTACTCGCCAGGATGCACTTGACCCAGATCGACCACGTCATCGTCAGCTATTCTGCAAATGTGGTGCAGTAACGTGTCGGGGGCGACTTCTGTAGGTAGTAACGACCAATGGCGATTTGAGGACATATGAGAGTCGTATTACCCGTTTTCCTGTGTCATTCTGCACCGATCAATACCCATCTTTCTATACTCTTGGAACAATTACCAATGTCATTCCTCTTTCCCCTTCAAATCGAATTTGTCATGATGTCGTTTGGTCAGTAGGGTTTGGTAGGGTTTGTAACTGCCATTTCAACAACTTTAGTTTCAATTGTATGTTACATTTAAATTTTTCGTATTTCGTAATATCTCTTTTCCGAAAATCGTACGGTCTTCTTTTCTTCAGTATTGTGATGATCTCTCAAAGGCACAGTCCACGTTGGCCGTTTGGGCGGAGACAGTTCCCGTGACGCCTTCTTCATTAGTGCCCCCCCCCCTTTCCTCTATGGAAACATAGAGGAGCGGCGCGCCAATGAGGAAGCTGGAACGGGT